AAATTTATAAGTAATCTCCACAAATGTTAAATTATCTGTATAAAAAATAGAACAACAGGAAACGCAAATGGTATTTATCTTTCTATAGATATGAGAACAATGTTTCGTTATTATATTATTAGATTCAAAAATCGTACGATGATTGATAAGAAATTTTGCAAAATGAACGAATCGGTCAAGTGTATTGCATGCATGTATGAGAACGTGGAAATACACAGCGTATCTCTCCGAACAAAAGAGTATAAGAAGAATTGTCAAGGTTATCAAGATAGATATCTATAAGATGTATATCTAATATAGATATCGATTTTCGTATAAAAAGACCAGATTTCGCTTAATCAGCAGATTGTGCTCAACAGTCCTCGAGTCACAATGGCCCAACTTGCGTTACCTCTGATTCTCATCCTCGGCATTGCCTTCGCCCGTAAGTATGAAATAATTCAATAGACCAACTCAAGTTATTTCCAATAAAAATTACTTCTGTCTTAATAATGTTAATGTAATAAAATTAAAATAAATTAATGTCTATTACTACAGAGGCTTTCCCTGAGGACCCGACAAGAATTGTTGGCGGTACGAATGCCAGGCTTGGACAGTATCCGTATCAAGTGTCCCTGAGAAATCAAGGGTCACACTTCTGCGGTGGTACTTTGGTCGGCCGAAGGCACGTGGTCACCGCTGCTCATTGCATTCAGGGTGTCGTGTCCGCCCCGTGGAACGGTTTCACCGTCGTCACTGGTACAGTCAGCCTCAAGAATGGTGGTCAAAGTCACCGCGTTGCTAGCGCCACCGTACACCCGAATTACAGCTCCAACAATGCCCAAGCTTACCCAAATGACATTGCCGTCGTCACTGTGAGTAAAGCGTTTTTCAAACGAAATCGTCTTGTGATACCCGGTTGTGGTTCACTTCTCGAAGTTAAAACCAGAATTTCGGGTATCACTCAAAGGTTAATAATTAAGGATCAACGTTGCGTGGAAAGACTGAACTTTATTACAAATGTAGTGAATATTACGAGACCAAAACTAAGACTGCCTCAGGACGAGAGGGTAGGGCTATTTAAGGGTTTGGGAGAAATGACCTTTGGATATGAAGAAGTGGTGGGAAAAGTTTGGAAGATGACAAGGTTCAGAATGAGTAATAGTGATTTTGGTGACTGGCTATTGATTTAGATAAAGGATGAGACAGCTTAGGTACATGTTTTCGGATGAGACATCTTTAGATACATGTTTATGGATGATACATATTTACGGATGAGACATAGATAACATAAAAATATGTACGTGTATAACAGTACCGTCGTCTGCGAA